ACTCGGACCAGACCTTCTTCTCAGCTGCCGCCCACACAATGTCCCAGCTTGGCCACATGGCTGTTGCAAGAATGGGGGCTGTGTGAATTCAGGAGGGCAACTGTGAATGGTGTAGCATCTGATATGAATTTATCACCGGCTGCTGGTTGGGTGGGGGATAAAGCAAGGGGAAGGGGCTCTGAGTATTTAATGCACCCTGCCACAACCTGACAGTTTGCCCCAAAGAGACTTTTACCAATATAAAAGGACAGGGTCAAAAGTAAGTTGACCCCTGACAGAATGTACAATTATTAGAAGAGGGCTGTGTACAAGCAGCTGCTGGAACCCCACTGGCTCCACATTGGGCTTCCAAAAGTCAGAGTATGAATAATCAACTCAAGATTGTTTCCTCCACCCTACCACCTCCCCCAAACCTTCACCTCCTGTTTTGGGCAAGTCCTATTACATTTCTACAGGAAGAAGCATAACCTTCCCTAGCAGCTGCAATAATTGTGCTCCTATTGTGAAGAAGACCTCCTCCTGGCCACCCCCCTACAAGTGGCCATTGTGAGTGTAGAGTCAGTGATTATACGCTTGGCCTGATGCTTTGGAGGACCCAGCTGCCTAAGTGCTGACACACGAGCATGTGGAAGGCCATGGAGGGGGTTGGTGAAGGTGGAGGCAGAGGTGGGGGAACCCACGTCTGTGAGATGGGACTGTGACATGCCAGACCTTTTTCATAAGTCAAGCCCAGAACAAATGGGGCTTTATCAGGCCCCAATGATGAGGGGTCTCATCTCTCTTTGAAGTGGAGCTGAGCATGGGGCCTAGCAGCTTTTCCTTCCTTGGACCAAGCAAACATCCTTCTTTTGATATGCTACATGCTCATTATCTCTGCCCCATTTAATGATTTTTGATTGAAGGGTGGCGGCTGGGATGCTGAGAATGTTAGAGAGGCTCCATGCAGCCAAGCCCTAAGAAAGGCTTTCCTTGTGTCTGGGCCTAAATTTGGAATTTCTTAACAGTGTGCACTTGTTCTTAGAGGCAGATAAGGGCTGAGCGTGAAATTCTTAATTAAGCAATAAATAGAGACTGGGGTGTCAGCAGATGTAGCCAGTAGCCATGGTAACGGGAATCACATGGGCAGGAGTGCTGAGACTAGATGGAGGCCTCAGGCCTGGGCCTGACTGACAGCTGAAGAATCCTACAAAGCTTGTAAACCAGATTAATTAGCTGACTAATTATTTCATAGCGTTAATGTAACTAAAAAATAAAAATAGTTCACCATGAACTGAAACGTCCCTGGAAAAAAAAACAGCAGGGAAAGAGGCAATGGGGAACTGGCTCTGTAAGGCAGAGAAGGGAGCTGCCAATAAGTCAAACTGTGTACACAGAAAAATGGCTTGCTGGATTTGACTCCTGACTTTCAGATAAAAGCATACACTTGTTCTACAGTCATACCCATTCCCAAGGTCGGTGTCAAAGTTGCAATTGGGAGAGGCCATTCCTAAGAGTTTATCTCATCAAATACTACTCCTGCTAGGTCCTAGCACACAAGGACTTCACTTGTGGCTTCTCTTATAAGCAGCTCCTTGAGCAGATTTTCACTGGTTTTGGAAAGGCAAACCAAACCAATCTGCTTAAAGGATATCTTTTAAATGAAAGAAGTTGTCTTATTCTATGGACAACAACAGCCTGAGTGATATTAATAAGTTATGACAACAATTTACCATGTTGTCATTTGATCATGTACCTCAAGTATCTTTCAAAATCCAGTTCAAAAAACAGAAGGATACTTTTAGAAAGGTTATCATGTGTATGCTGAAATCAAGATACAACCATTGCTAATCCTCCAGGGAAAAGAAAATTCCAGAGAAATATTCTATTGGGTGAATTTTTGAGTATGGTAAAATGGCATGCTGATCACACTTTAATACATGTGAGGGTTTTGTACCAAATTTCTGAGACAAGTAAATATTCTTAACTTCATTTTATAAATGAAACTATTGAGGCATGGAGCAATTATAATGCCTTGCCCTAGGTAAAGCAGCCAGCCAACCTCTGATTAAAACCCTAAGCCCCCAAGCACTGGCCGTGAGCTTTCCAAAAACCCAGCACTCCATAAAGACGTTTGCTGAACAAAGGCAAAACTTGCCTTAGTTAGAAAAGAGAAATGCAAGGATCAAAACATATATAAGCAGTATTTTTCTCTTTGTCATTGGGGATCTATGGGAAGTTTTCTTCCACAAACCTGCCTAGAAGACACCCCTACCCCTTCATCCTTTTCAGTCAGTGATCAATGATTATTTAGTGGGCAGCACACTCTAGTGGAGGGATCCACAGTCAGGAGCTAGAATGCCTGGGTCCTTATCTTTTCCATCCCCATCTGGGACTAAGATAATTTAGGTATCTTAAATCACATAGGAAGCAGCCAAGTGGAGGAAGTGTAGATACTGGGATTTAAAAAAAAAAAAAAAACCTTCCTATCCTGAAGGATGTGGTAAGCTTGCAAACAATAAAAAGATGGTCCACTTAGAAGTGGTCAAAAAATGAATGAAGCGCTGCCAAATGTCAGTGAAGCAGCACTCTGAATGAATCAGCAGCTGGGGAAAGGGCAACACACCCCAGAAAACCTGGCACATAATGTGGTGCACCTGAAATGGGTCAACCAGTTTCCCTGTAATACAATGAAACTTGTATATACTCAACTTTCCCCAGGTCTTGTCAACCTAGCATATGTCCACATATGCTTGATGTCTGGGCTGATGTTTTCTTCTTAAGTGTGTTTTATGTAAATTATCCCAGTAATGAAACTATAAGTCATAGAGTCTGGAATAAACAATTAAGTGAAGATAATAATCTAACCAGCTATGTCAAGCAGACAGAGCTGGAATTCTATTTCTTGGGATTGTGATGCTCTGGCTACAAAAACTACCTCACTGTTATGCCAGTTGAGAAGGTAGACGGATGTACAGAAAGCACAGTAGCCTAACCATCACCTTCCTATAGATTTTGTGAACTTTACACAAAAGATATCCACAATTATGACTAAATCTACAGAGCCCAGTATAGCTGTGTGGAGGAGCAGATGAGACTCTGTTCTTCCAGTCCTCATATCCCCTTGGGCCAGCACAGAAATGGGAATAGAAGTGGTGTAGTCACTCATCTGCCCCACGATCAGAGGATAAAGGAGACACTGTGGACCATACAAACTACTGCTAGGAATCCTCCTCAAGGATGAAGGGTCTCCAAGTTTATTAAACATTCAACCAACCACCTCTGACTTGCAGTGGCTTTTCAAAATCTTACTCAAAGGTTGAGACATTAGACGCTCTAATACAAAGAATCTTAAAAATCAATACAAGCTATCTCCCTAGTAAAAAATGTCATATGAAAAAGTCATCTATATCATATATGTGCACATATACACTTACAGATACATATCTACATATCAATATAAATGCACACAAACACAGCTAGCTACACAGAGGTGCCTTTAGATTATAAATGCAAGTATTAATTTAATTAAGAATTCTATCAAAGGATAAAGTATCTGTGGCTGTATTGTTTGTCTTTCTTTGTAACCGAAATGTTCCTGTATGGTGTTTGGCTTACATGTGTATTTGAATTAGTTTGCAGTTCTCAAATGAAATCGGACCAATGAATGAGTCAAGCTTCTCAGAAGTACACATAATAATGCAGACCAATTAAAATTTTAAAAATTTCTAGACCATATAACAAGCGAATAGTCATAAAGTTAATGGCAATTATTTGCTGTTACTTAATGGCTGTATTTAATTCTAGTGATAAACAGTCTCAACAGTCTTTGTCCATCCTGTGTATTCATAGTTACAGGTTACGTTTGTAGACAGGTCCAATTAGAAATAAAATGTGATTGTGCATCTCATTGCAAAGAAAATATATGACATTTAATTTGGCAAAACATCCAGAAAGCACCAGATTCTTCTGTCTGGTAATATTAAAATTCAATAGTCCCAGGACTCAACTGTAGATAAAACCCAGTTAACATAGGTCAGGCACAAGGGGAAGAGACAAGGAACTCAGGGTGACGTCCCAGCCTGCAAGTTCTTAGGCCAAATCTGTTTTGTGGCGGGAACTGGATCCTGCTGTAATGATATAGTTCTCTGAATTTGGCCAGGACCTATTGAGACCAATTTTTTAACAAAATTACCATTCTAGATACCCATCTGGTCTCTTACAGGACACCATAGGAAATGATCTCATCGTGAGCTGATGTGGTTGGTTCTAGAAGTGACCAGCAATGACACTGGAATGGGAAAAGAATATGAGACAGACTCCAGGAAGTTTAAAAAAAAAAGGGGGTAAAGGTGGCTAGTCCTGATCCCAGCATTGTGATTCCGCTAAATATGTACAATGAGAAGGTAAGAAAATCTTTCCACCCTGTTTCCCAAGAGAAGTTTCCTGTAATCTTGACATAAAAGAGATACAGCACACAGCAGTCCTCAGATCAGTCCTCTGTGCAGTCGCCCCTTCTAAACTCGGATTCCTTTCCAAGGTCCTCTTCTGGCCCTGCACATCCACATTACCCTCCTTATGTCTGTAGGCTCCATCAGCCATGCGGCCGTTATAGATTCACTTAATTACTACAAACACAACACTGCCCTAAGGTGGATTAAAGGTACTTATACACCAATGTTTATTAAGCATTGCTTGGACTAGGTATTCAGATCAAGAGTTTCAAAGGTTATTGTTTAAGTAATTCCCTATCTTTTCAGGTAATTTCTTTTAGCATCCCATTTTGCGTGGGAAAGGGGCTAACACACAGAAGAGAAAGAGTGCCTGTTTAATGTCCCCAGCCTAGTAAATCTTGGCACTGGGGTTTAAATCCAAATGGTCTGATTTCGGAGCCCACTCACTTAATTGTAACACAAGCTGTCTGCTTCAGTACCTTGCTTCATAGCACGGAGCCTGGAATTCAGAAAATAAATGGCGGCTCTTGATTTTGTGCCCTTAAAATGCACATCTAGTTGGAAACTTACCTAGATAGGTGAGCTGCCCTGATTGGCTGTCGAAGAACCAGTCGCAGCCTTGGTCTTGACCAGGTGATGGAAGAGATAGAAGAGACCAACCCACTCGACTCCCACATCGCAAGAGAATATGAGGGTAAGGTGGCAAGTTGGTGTGCACCAGCAGAAGGTAATTCCCCGAAGAAAAGTTGTCAAATGTTGCTGAATACTTTGAATACAAGGGGGAAAAATACAATAATGCTTATTTAGTGAGGAATTTCCCCCCCCCGGGATCTAAAGATTGCAAGTGAAATAGTTCAGAAATAGGTTAGTACAAAGCTAAAGTGTACTTTTCTTGTAAGAAATTAGTCTCCTTACATCGATTTCACAATAAGCTTGTAACTAAAGCCACTAAATCATAGACTGTGCAAGCTGAAATAAGCCACAAGGTTCTTCTTGTTTATCAACTTTAATTAACAAAGAAGAAAATAAAGCCCCGGATCAGTAAACAGACTTGTCTCAGGTCAGACAGCTAGGAGACACTGGGCTGCATCTAGAATTCCTTTCTAATTTTCTCACAGCTTGGATAGTCCAGCATGGATAGGAGCATCGTGCACTTATATCCTTTGTAGCTCACACTGCTGAAGCATTCCCTGCACCTATGAACCCACTTAACAGCTGAAGAGACCCAGGAAGGCAGAGGTTCAGGAACTCTCCTCATACCAAAAAAGCAGGAGAGTGCTGAGCTAGAAAATAAACCCAAGGTGTCCACCTCCAGAGTCATACTCTACTCCTACACTTTATGAAGACTCCCAGAATGTTCTCACAGGAACCGCAGAAAAAGAAAGAGAGGCATATGACTTTTCTGAGAGCCATGAGAAGCTCAGAGATTCTTCCCTGGATTTTTTTTTAATAACTATAGTACACCCAAGCAGCTTCTGTCTCCCTAGGATGTGTGCATTCAGGACTGTTTGGAGGAAGATGTATGGAGATGAAAAAAGGAGCTGCATTAAGAAGCTCAAGGAAATTTCCTGGGTTATTTATTTCCCAGGGCTATTTTTTCTCCTCTCCTCCATCCCCTCTTTCGTTCTTTTCAGAAAATGCACCCACTTTTTACATAGTTTTTCCTCCTCCCTCCTGCTAGCCACCTGTCAACTCCAACCAACCTTGGGGAATCATGAACTGTATGTGCAAGTTAATATTTTGCCACAAGGTGGCAGTATGAAATATACAAATGTCAGGTAGGACATTTTCTCCAGCGATAGCTGAAGAAAATTGTTTTTTAACTTGGAATTTTAAAAGTTTCAATGCCAGAGAATTCTTAGAACCTTTTCCCAATTGAATTATTAAATTTAATATTTCAAGCAGAACTATTCTGCGTTCAAGGTGGGATTTACAGCAACTCAGTCTCATATTCAGAACATATTCATCTGGCAAAAAATGTGACTGCCCTTTATCAGCATCAGCTGAAGCAAACATAACCACAAAGAAGGAAAGGACAGACCCCTTATTATGGGATGGGACATACTAATAAGTGGAATCCTACAATTACCTGCAAAGATCTGTTGACACAAGGATCCGCAAATCGCAGTGAGTAAGTCATTTGATCCAAGAGAAGAGCCATCCAGCCATAATGGTTAGACAATGTGTCTTGGACATAATTGACAGTGGTTGTCTTATTTCTTCTGTCAGTGATTATTAAATCACAAGGAACATCAGGAGCATGAGGTCTGGAGTGATTTAAAAAGAAAAAAAAATGCAGTTCTGAAGTTATTTGCCCTTTCTAAGCCTAATGCATTCCCGTGCTATCAGTTGTGATCATTTGTTCTTTCCTGAAAATCTTGGGCCCTTTGTCTGTAGTGGGCTTAGTAATTGCTGATGGTGCTAAAACAGCCCAAGGGAAGTCGAAATTGCATCCCTCATACATAACCCTGGCCTGGTAGACTGAGGGTAGAATATTCAGGTCTGAAGGAACTAATAAATGTCACCTTGGTGAGTTCACATAGGCCATTAACTTAACAAGGAAATGGGTACGGCCAGAATTTTGTCAAATAGCAAGCTGATCACCAGGAGAAAGCGTGTTATTTTTAGTAACTGGATTTTCATGCGGGAAGCAGTGACAGATGTCGAGGATCTAACACACCTAGACTCTTAGACTCCCTACACCAAGGGCCCAGTGGTCCTCTCCACTCCAGGGTAGAATGGAGTAGTGAGTTGTTCCTGTTCTGTGGGCTGCCTAGTGCCCCATGCTCACTGCCACTTTAGCACTTGTGCTCCAGAGTTTGTGTTTTAAAAGTATAGATGATGTGATACTTAAATTGGAGATGTGTTTTCCTTCCTCTTGGTCACCCTTCCACTGGCCCAGGTCCTTGCACACAAAGGCACTCAGCTCATGTTCTTACATGAATGAAGCACACACAAAGAGATATTCCCAAAACAGTGATCTACCTATTTTATATAAAGGGGTTCAAGAAGAACTGCCTTTTAACAAATGAGGAAATTGAGGCAGTGTATGGCAGAAGTAATATGTATTTGTAAAGGTTATAAAGCAGATGCATAGGCTCCAAGGTCCTACAAACTGCCCTCCCCATCCCAGAAAGTGATAAAATATAAATAGAATTAATCGCATGCTAAAACTCTATAAGTGAGTCGAAGTTGACCTAAAAGAGTTTTAAAAATCAATACACATTATTATTGTCTTCCCCCTTGATTTAGTTTTCGTAAGAATTTTAACTGTGACATTTTGCTGGAGGCAGATAATCCTCAAAGTAGAGAGAGATGCGATGAAGGAAGAGTGTATCTAAAGCCAGTTTGTTTCCAGTGGTAGATTATGAGAAGGGATACAAATATTTCAAGATAGGGTTTCACTATGTTGCCCAGGGTGGCTGTGAGCTCCTGGGCTTCAGCCACTCTTCTGCCTCAGCCTGCTGTGCAGCTGGCACTTCAGACAAGAGGAAACTTTTAAAATGTCACTTTGTCAAGGAAGAGTTAAGTGGGCATTAACTGGAAATGAAGATCTGCACACACAAGTGTGTGAATATGGATGCGTTACCAACTCTGTTCAAGCTTTGATTTCTTTCTTCCTCTTCTTTCCTCCCTATCACCCCCGCCTCTCCCTCTCTCTCTCTCTCTCTCTCTCTCTCTTCTCCCCTCTCTCTCTCTCTCTCTCTCTCTCTCTCTCTCTCTCTCTCTCTCTCTCTCTCTCTCACTGGGGACCAAAGCCAGGAGCTTCACACTGAGCTATATCCCCACCCCACCCCTTTTTTGAGACCAGGTCTCACCAAGTCACTAAATTGCCTAGGCTAGGCTCAGATTTGGGATGCGCCTGCCCTAGCTTCTCAGGGTGGTAGGATTACAGGCTACCATAGCCTGGTGGTTTCCTTTCTTTCCAAAGGGAAACAATGACAGCTCATGTAGCTACAGTGAAGCTTCCAGAGATCATCCATGTAAAACAGTCAGTAGCCATCGCCAAGCCCAACATTTACCCGTAGCTCACTTAAGAAAGTACCTAAGAGGCAGGGCAGCAGGAAGTGTGGAGGGGTGGAAAGGAGGGCGGGGAATTGGAAAAATATAAAATGGAGTACTACTCAGCCATAAAGAATGAGAAACTTGATACATTTACAGCTAAGTGGATGCACATGGAGGCGATACTCTTAAGTGATATAAATAGGACACATATGTAACTTCTGAATAGTTTCTCTAGTGTGAGAAACTGACAGTGTAAATAAGGACTAAAAAGCATACTAGGTAATGTGAAATACCTATTTGTCCAAGAAAATGGACAAAGAGGAAAGGGAAATGGGAGGGGTAAGGGAAAGGAAAGAAAAAATGGAATTAATATGAGAAAATGAAAAATAATGGAAACAGAGTCTTTGTAGATGGGAAGGGGTGGAGGGGTTGAAGGGAGGACAGGGGAACTTGGAAAAAATAAGAACCAAGACTGATTATGTAAAGGTAAAAATTTCCAACAAGGAATGTCATTATATTGTATACATTAAATAAACCAATAAAATTAATTTATTAAAAGAACCAAGAAATATCATGTACAGCTACAAATTCCCAATGATGAATATGATCACATGGTATACCTAAAACGTACCAATAAAGTCAATAAATAATAATTTAAAAATTATCTACGATGTGTCAGATTTGCTGTTCCTTACTTCTTCTTTGACTGCCTAGAGGTTTAGCCATGATATTTTGTCAGTAAAAAACCTGTCCCCAGATTTTCATGTGACAGAGTACTAACCCTAGCAATGTAGCTCTTCTTGTGAGATGAATATGTTTGTTTCACCTGTTGATAAAAGGCTTGGAACATTTGGGAGTAAAGAACTATTGCATAGCATTACCTGAAATCTTAGAAGAGATAAAAATTTCTTCCTGCACTTGGGCTTGGGATAGTTAGGGTTTATCATGCCCATTTAAATCAGAATTGACAATGTAAAATTAGAAGAAAAGGGCTAAAGGTGTAGGGAAAGTGGGAAGGGTAGGGGAAAGGTAATAAAGGAAAATAAAAAAAAATACGAAATGAAAAAATGGAAATGAAGTGTTTGTAAATGGGGAGGGGAGGAGGGGGTGAAGGGAGGGCAGGGACAAGGGGGAAAAATGAGAACCAAGACCTGTCATGTAAAGGTACAAGATCCCAGTAATGAATGTAACTATATTGTATACCTAGAACGTACCAATAAGTCAATTAAAGAAAGGATTTAAGTCAGAACTATTGGATAATCCTTAATTCATATTCTAAGAATTAGAGTGGATGTTAAGGTCAATGTTCTAATTTCCAATCCATTCCATGATTTTCCCCTTTGGTATTCATCTTGTCCCTAATCCTAGTGACGGCTGTTCGCATCTTCAAATAATACACTATCCTATTTGTAAAATTTATTTTAAAATTGTAGTCTTTAGAAAGACTTTAAAGTGCTAAATTTTCTTTCAGTGTTCCTAGCTATTTATACTCAATCATCCTGTCTCTTTCCCTGATTGAAACCATGTGTCCCAAGGGTCTATCCCACATAATTTGCCTAACAACTGTATTTGACAAAAAAATTAAATGTGAAACAAATGTTATAAAAGTAAATAAGTTGGGACTAAGAAATATGTGCAAGATACAAAAGTTTACTGCAGTAGGTAACTTGGTCAGTATACAAGATGGGACACCCTTCAGTCCAAAGAATTATTCTGAGTGTTTCAGATTATGAAAGTTCATCCTTACCACTTCTACGGTGATATATGGGCCCAAATAGTGAATCATAAGGCCAAATAGCGAATCAGGAAAGACTAGTTGATAAATCAGAATTTCTATTTAATGATTTACACAAAGAAATGAATTGGCCCTTCATGTCCTGCGAGTATTTGTCGAGTGAATAAACAAGTGATACATGTGGCACCAGAACACTCCAGCTGGTTAATTTTTCTCTGAAGTAGAAAAGACTACTCAGAAAAACGTGCGTCAGATTTCCTGTACACTTGTTAATAAAGGAGATATGCACATGATCATAAGTTATCAGAGTTTGACACAGTTAACTTCATATCTGCAGAATATTTGCCAAGAAGATGTGAACATCTAGAGAACACAAAACATCTTTGGGGCATATACAAACTATATGTTCCAGTCATGGGTCCTGGTTTAGGAAAACGCTAAGATTTCCTTAGGAATTCATATTTCTTCTAATGAAATGTTCTTAATTAAATCACTTTGGAAAAGAGTTTCTTTTTCTTCATTTTTCTATATATCCAATTATATATTTTAATGGGTCCCCTTCTCCTTAAAGGCAACCTTGCCCTGCTGTCTCAATGCTTCAGAATTTTACTGTTGTTGGTTTCAAATACTATTTTGCCATCCAAGATCCTGCAGGTGGTGGCCTTTTGGAAAGTTTGTATGGAGTTGTGACTGTCCAGGGTGTGGCAGAAATTGAAATCCCCTCTGTCATCTAGCAGGTAGGAGCAGGTGGTGATTTCCTACTCTAGTTGAACTCCATAATCGATGGGGTTTTATACTTCTAGGCCTGGTAATGCCCTTTGCAAAGCCTGTTCTGACTCCAGGTACAGAAGGGACTGTTGAGCTAGTCTATCTGCCCAGGGTATCAGGCCTCATTTTCAAAGAAGTATTTTTCACATCATTTCCCCAGTTTCTGAAGGCCCTTACAAACATGCCTCCATCTTCAAATATTATCACACCGCTAAAAGCTAGCAATAACAAAGCATTACTTGTCCTTGAGACCTCTGTATCTTCCTTCTGATGGTCTCCTTCCAAAGAGCATCCAAAAATGTCCTCCCAGCCTCTCAGTCAACTGAAGACCCACCACAGCAACTCTGATTTTAAATTGCCTTTTCTCTCTTCTCCTCATGCCTGGCGCAGTCTCCTGGATGCCTGATCCCATCAAACCACCCTCATCCATCTCAACCGGAGTCTGTTCAGGATTGAGTTTCCTAGGCACTCATGTGCAGCACCACCTTCCTTGAGTTTAAGTAGAAAAGGAGGTTTCCAAACATACCTTCATCACAGCTGGTGGTAGAAAAGACCACACGGTACACTCTAAAAAGCAAATCAAAATGTAAAAGACCCATCTCCCAGCAGGCAAGTTTCCTTGGATTGACCATTTCTAGGGGCCAAAACTTCAAAATCAGATCAGCTCCTAGTCTTCTAGGCCAAATGCCAACATTTATAGGGGTGGGCTCCTCTGAAAAGCACCAAAAGGACATCACGAGTCAAAGAACACCACGAAGA